AAGAATTGAAAGTGAGCCGAGACTTGATTGAAGCGGTCAGAGGACAAAAAGAGTTCGCAACACTAGGGAAACTGAAGTCGTTCCAATATGTGTCTGGCATACCGGGGATGGCGTATAATCCCTTCGTGAACGAAGAAGCCAGGGAAGCGTACTTCGACTACGAGCAAGTCACAGTGCTCAACTTCTGGGTTGAACGAATTAAGGAAATCGGAATGCTGATGGTGGAACAACCCAAGCTGGGAATTATTTTGGAAGAACGATTGGTCGTACCCTCGATTCCCGAGCTAAAAGGGCAGGTGAGTTTTGATTGTGGTTCTTGGGACGGTCCCTTGAAAACCAGTCTAGTAGTGATGTGGGAACTCATGAAGCCTTCCTGGTGTCCCCATCCTAACGCAGGCTTAATTTGGGACATGACCGCGGATATCATGTTAGACCAGGATGATGATGCGAGTTTACATGATCTGGCCATGATACATCACCTGCTGGCCATGAGATTGACGAAGAGGAAGAGCAACCCGTCCACGGAGCTGTCCGAGGAAGGTACACCGAGTAATTGGTTGAAGCAAGGCACATGCTTGGCTCAACACAATGGGATGGAAGGACATGTTTGCAACTTGGGACACTGCCTGATTACGCTGAGCGAGCAGCATCGACAACTGGCACGATTGTACGGAAGATTGAGCATGTCAGATAAGAGTGCCATGGAGTTGGTCGCAGACTGCCATGGGGTGACGGACGTAAACCTGATCACAGCCTTGGGATTTTGTAGCATGACGAGTTCGATAGAATCGCTCGAGCGCCTGGAGCGTGCCCATGAGCTAGTGACGTCCCTCAGCGTGGAAATATTCCCTGGAGCATTACAGACAGAGCAGAAGATTGGAGGCTGGCGAGAAGCTCTAGAAAATGAAATGAATCTGAAGGATAGTGAAGCCTATCACAGACCTACTGGTTCAAAATATATGGTGGGTTCAAGCTCCGCGCCATATTGTAATAGCAAGTATCCTACGCACATGGTGGTGATGGATGCGAGGACGCAACAAGTGTTGGTTGACCAACTTTTCTCTGTGCCAAAGTGCGTGAGGTTGGCCAGAATGTCAGAAAGGTCATATGACTTGTTGGCAAAGATCTTTCGGGCAGTCCCGAAGAGATCCGAAGGCGAGTTGCAAGACGTTGTGGGTGAAGAGTTCATGAGACTGAACGAAGGTAACGTGAGTGAGTTCCAGAAACAGAAAGCGAGTGGAGCGTTACCCACTGAATTCCCCACCATAGAAGAAAAAGACGATTTACATAGAATTCTGATGGAAGTGGAACCGTTGCTGGGAGCCTCAGGGTATCGGACCCGAAGGAACATAGTGAGGACCCATGGGGAGTATCCTTGCCACTGCTTGGCGCAGACGTTGTGGTACCCCAAACGCGGGAATCTGATCCTAGTATGGGACGTGGAGGAGTTGTACTCCACGGGGTTGCCCGATCAGAATCAACAAGTGTCAATCGTGGTGGTTAGCGCCATGCTAGCAGTGAGATGGTTGGAGGCTAACGCAGACACAAGTGAGCAGGAGACGGCCGTGCCGACTCCTGAACAGCTGAGCAACGTGAAAATGAGTCGTGAATTGGATCTTTTCAGAACCACCTGCAAGGTTCTGAGAATACCTAAAGCCATTGAAAGGATATGGTCAAGGCAGAGATTGATGCCTTGGTTCCGTGCAGTGATGACATCATGGATGTATGAACGCGCGAAGCGTCACATGTCAAGGAACACGGAAGCCTATCAATCTTTCCAGCTAGATATAGGACCGGGAGCCTATAAGAGAGCTTTCTTGACGCACAGAAACGCGGTCACCACAGCGGTGAAGCGGGTAGCTGGAGCGCCTTGTGTTACTGAAGATGAGAAGAAAGAGGTCTTAAGAGCTGACCTAGAACGAAACGTGAGCCTATGTCTTCACAACAGCTTTTGCAGGAACCGGGAGCAGAAGGTGAATGTGGACTTGCTACCTTGTTGCAAACCGAGGCTGTTGGAACAGGAGGGTTGGGGCACGGCCCGCAACTCTCTGGACATGTTAGAGAAAGTTCTGGAAGACAGTGACGCTGAACATCAGGATGGAGAAATGATGGAGTGAAGATGACCAAAGAAGAGAAGAGAAGCAGAAAAAACTTGATTGTCTTTGTGTGTAAAAACTTGAACAAATCAACCAAGTTTTGATTATTGAACTTGTGAAACTTTTTGTTTTGATCTAGTTTGGTCAGACCAAACTTTGAAAATGTTACAATTGTTAAAATTGTTGAAATTGTTGATTTTAGTTACTACTATCTATGTATGTATATAAGGAGCATAGGTGAGTATATTTACCTATTTATTCACGACTGAAGTTTTTAACCTGTGTAAGACACAAATTCACTGTGTGGCGACATGGTAAGTTTGAGTAAACTCGCTCGAGAAGGGTGGGTAACTCATTAACTTTCCTAGCCACAGAGTTTCTTAGTTTTAATATTGAAAGGACCGCATAAATGACTAATTATACTTGGTGAGTGGAGTTAAGTTAATTTTAACGGGTGCGTGGCCGTGCCACGTCCCACTTTTTAATCAGAAGCGAAAAGAAGTTTTATGGCGAGATGACGTGAGTAGTCAGAAAAGAAATTTTATCTAGGACACTCCTCATGGTGCAAATTTTGTGAAAATGTTGAGAGGCAGTGAGATGTAGTACAATGCCATTTGTGAACACGTAGTGAGTTGAGGTGGAGTAGATAAATTTCATTTTCTTATGCAATTTGTAAGATTGATTACAGAAAACTGGATAACTACTTGACGATAACCCGGTGTTATGCGATCAATAGGGACATTGATGGAGACTTGTCCGGGGAGTATGTGCCATTCTGCCAGATGACACAGCACAACCTTCCGGCGACATAAAAAAGAGTGAAAAAAGGCCTTATGAACAAAAAAAGTGTGGCGACGGAGGGTCAGAATGTTCTAGAATTTTTACTTTTAAAATTTCGATTGGAAGAAGAACATTTCTGAGAAATAGAAAAAAGACGGCCATTTTGAATAAAAAGACGAAAATCAGAACGACGCCATAGATTGTGAAGAACAGTTGTATCAGAGACAGAAAAATCATGAAGCCTCTTATCGTGGCAAAAACACACGATAAGGACCTTAGCGACAGATATTTGTGGAGAAGGAGGCTTCAGTGGGGGAAGAAATATACCACGGAACCCTCCCGGGACACGAAATATAAGAGATAAGAGTGTAATCTCAAGAATATCACGGGAGCGGAGGCTTGGTCCCCCAGAGACTGTCTATGTGAAGGGACTGTATAGACTGACTGTATAGCTGCTATAATGTCATAGATCTTAATTAACACCGTTATTATTTAATATTTCAGAGCATGAGTAGCTAGAAAAAGGAAAGGGTCAATCCATCTCCAATGGATTTAATATAAAACTGTCACACAAAAACATATAAAAATAGGTTGTTCGAGCCGTGTTTTTAATGACAATCACGTAGTCTGAGGATCCGAGACTCAGCTATGTGGTTGTGTTCGCATGCAAACGAAAGCTGATCAAAAGTCGTTCGACTGATGGCCTAAAAATGGTAACTTTTTACTTTGCCCTAGACAGACCAGAAAATCAACTGGCAAGGTCGAGACGGTGAAAAACGAGTAGAATTAAGGTAACTGACGCCTGCCAGTCGTTAATAGGTACTTTTTCTACGCTCCGTCGCTGTGTGATATTTGGGCGAATGTTACATAGACGTTTTTATGGCGCTCCTGGGTGGGCCTGTTAAAGGCATGAAACCATCATGATCAGCAAGCGTTTCAGCGACGAACCCTCCGCTCCGGGCGTATGCCCGAGTTAGAGGCCTTAATGACCGTTGTTGTACTAGGGGGAAGGTGCGTACCCTCCGTCTAGTACAATTTAGCTTTTTAACTCAGTTAACACCGAAAATTCCGGGGGCCGGAGGGTTAGGTGGGAAGTCATGAACCCGCTTGTCCCGAGGTCCCGGGACCAAAAACAATTAAAGAGAAAGCGTAAAACCAGACAAAAATAGTGTATAACCAAGAAAAAGCCAAAAATAAATTTATTTAAAAACAAAAAAGTACAAAAAACAGTAAAAAATCCAAAAAAAAACCAAAAACAGTAAAAAACATAAAGTGACAGTTTATATGTTATTTCCGGACGAGATGTGATCTGACCTTCCTATTTGTTGTTGTTTCAGATTGATTTATCGCTGTAAGATTTATCGGCTGAATACAAGAAGTCGTTCTGAACACTCGTTTTGGTTCAATCGGCAGACTTCTTTCGTTAAAAGATCAACGTATTTACGGCCAATGTTTCCCCCCGGGACTAAATACAGTTTGCCTTGGAGGTTCACTTTCACAGTCCATCTGTTCCCCCATTCAGTTTCTTGAACTTCCTTAGATATGTCGAGAGACCCTCCAAAGGCGTTGAACAAACAGTTTTTGACGTTTTCTGTAATGGGTACAACAGGATAATGGTCTTGCTCGCTGAGGGTCATAACACGAAGCTGTTGAGTTGCCCCAGTATGTTGTTCTTCATTTTCAATTTTGTCTTCGGCTTCGTTGTATGAATCCACTTGTTCATCGTCACTAAATCTCTGCGACGCAGAAACGGAGTCCTCATTTGGATTTTCTTCAGAGTGATCACGAAAACCAAAATAAGACGGCGGTCTTATCACTCTGTCGCTTCTCCTCGTCATTTCGTGTCGGGGTTGACAAACTCCTCAATAGTTGCGATAGTTGCTATTGTTGCAATAGTTACAATAGTTGTCAATGTTGTTGTGGTTGTTGTTGTTTTTTCCCCTTTTCTTTTCTTGTTTAACAAGACACGTGCTAAATTGTGAAGAAATCAGTGTTGTGAAATTTGGAAAATAATGTGAGGAAAGAGAATAGTTTGGTTCTATATTCGCTCTAAGATCTTTTCTTTTTCTGAACAGTTCTGTTGAAGAGCTTGACTCGAAATTTTACCAGCAATGATTGTTTCAGCTGTGAAGAGATCGCACCGTAGAGCGGGTCTTGCCCGTAAGCTGATGGACCAGTCGGCACGCGCCATGGTGGAGAGCTTCAGTGCCAGATATGTGTCTCTGCACGTGCGAGTGTCCAACAGAGCTGCCCTCTCACTCTACAGAGACAATCTGGGCTTCCAGATCAGCGAGGTGATTACATTTGGCATATCAGTTAATTACACTTTCATCATAAACCTTGAAGATCTAGAGACTTGGTGCTTATTACTGATTAGTTTGTCTAACTACTTTGTTAGGTTAAATTGTGGATTAAAGTAAAATAATTTTAATTCTTTTTTTTGTATTGGTAGGCAAAAATGAATATGGCTGGAATTTTCTGTGCAATTTGCACAGCAGCTAGTAATTTTTGTTTGCGTACTTACAACTTAGAGTCAATACTTAGGTTGAGAGTAGATACTACGGGGACGGAGAAGACGCCTATGCTATGAGACGAGACCTGACCACTCTACTGGCCTCATGCGAGGAGACAGAAAAGAAACTGGAACAGGAGTTTGCCAAACTCACTTTGGGAAAGGAGGATGCAGCTATTGTAGATAATAAATCGGAAAGCTACAAACCAGAGGTGCAGAAAAGCGAAGACGCAGTAGAAAACACAGCAGATAAACCAGAAGACATTTCTAGTCCAGTTAACCTAACTTCGAAAGACAGAACTGAAAATGATGACATTGAGGGATCAAAATCCGATGAGAACTCAAAAATTATTTGTGAACAAAATTTGGATAGTCATGTGAACAAAGTTGATGATATAGACTGAGATTGAATTTAAGGTGCGAATCTTTTCATTATTTTCGCGCTTTAGGTTCAAGTATTTTGTTTAAAAATGACATTTAGTCAAGTCAATGAACGCAGCAAAGACTCTTATACAGGTCGAGATAATCTTTCTTGTATTTTTTCTAAAAAGTCTTAAAGTTTGTTCATGCTAGAATTTGATTTTTTGCGGTTTGACTTTTGATTTTTTGTAATTTCAGTTCACTTCATTTGTTAAAAGGAAGGCAAACTCCACTGTCAAACATCAAAAGTGTAAAGGTCCCGAAAACCGCGATCGACTCTAGATGCGAACGTGGATATTAATTTTCAGATGTCCCAACGGAATAAAAATTTTATCTTTGGATCCAATTTTTTTTAATTGGTTTATTTTATCAAAAAAAGTGTCGCTCATTAATGTTTCTTGAAATTCAAAGAGCTTTAAGGGCATATATATTTTTTGGAATTTCGAAAGTTGGAGCTTTTCAAAACAACCAAATGTTGTTTTATGTTGGGCAATGTATAAGTATATTAGTGGAAAGTATTGTCATTACGAAGTCTTCTTTTACAACCTTATTCGCAAATATAAGTGGCTTGGTGTTTCATTTGCTTCAAGGCATCGACAATTTAATAGCATGTGTAGCTGCTTTATACCTGGCTACTGTTAGTATGTTTTCGAGCGACCGATCTTAATCTCCGGGGCGGAGTTGGGCTCCAGTATAAGTCAAATGTGTTAGTTTTCTTATTTTACCGTTTTCTTTTCTTGTTTCTTCGTTTATTTTTTCGTCGATTTCTTGATTTTGATCAGCTTCGCTTCTGTGTATATTTAAAGGAAGTGTCTTGTCATCTGGACCTAGTTTTTAAAAAATTTAATCTTTTTGTGTTACACCTTGTGTAGGAAATTGAGCTTGGCTTACTACGAAAAATCAAGAGATTTCAAAGATCTGTGGTTGGAGTGACAGTCAGACGTTTTTTACAACTTTGAGCAATTAGGTCTCTCATTTTTTGAATAATTGTCTCAATTGTTGTCAGTTTTGTTGTAGTTTTTTTTAACGAACAAGTGAATTCCTCCATTAAGTTATATCTAGGTTTTATCATTGTATATTAGGGTTGAACTTCAGAACCAAATTTTTACTGATGTATTTTCGGAAGCTTGATTATCGACTGAAGCTTTATCGGCTATTTTCTAAGGCTAATTTTTCCTGAGTGCTTGTTGTATTGTAATGACGTATATAGGGGCACTCAGGAATTAAGTCGACAGATTGAAAGCCGACATCAAAAACGCAAAAATAACTAAAATTTAATTCCCGATGACAAAAAAATTCAATTGAAAAAACTTTGCAGTGCCCCTATATACTTAATTAAATTTTAGTTGTTTTTGCGTTTTGGATGTCATCTTAATACCTGAATGTAATTTTGTGATGCTTTTGTTCAGTTCTGTTGTCAGTTAGCGCCCGTTACTTTCCTTTAAAAAACCTAGCAGCTACATGTTACATGTTTTAATGGCAAATCAATACAGAAGTACTCGGTTTCTTTTTATAGCTATTTTTTTTAAAAATCATAGCTTGTCTCTGATTCTAATAAATTGCAATTGCAAACAGTTTCCGGATCAATCAAGCAACCCTCCTAATTTCAATTGAAGCATTTCAATCAATCAGTTGACTGCATAGTGACCACGTCCAGTCCATGCTCACGTTTATTTTGATAGTCTTTTTGCTTGGTGGTCAGATAGCTCAATTGGCCACTACGCGGGGGATTGCTCAATTGATCAATTTTTCAAATTGTATTCAATGGAAAACTTCTTTGTGTGTTTATTTTAATCGGCAAACTGGTTCCTGAAGCGTTTATTCCAATATATTTGTCTTTTAGCAAGAATTCGATTATCCGAGACACGGTCAGACGAGAAGGGAAAGAGTTAGAGCACTTAAGAGTTTTTTGGAATAAAGTTGAGCCTTACTTAAGGACTCATCCAACTGCAGATACATGTTTTTTTTTCAGTTCATCTTAGGTTGTTTATCCAATATGACGGTGAAAAATAGTTAGTTTTTATGAAACTCGATTTACACTTTGATTTAATTATGACCATTCTCTAGTCTTTAGGTAAACCATTCCATTTTTGCCACGTATTCTAGCAATTGAAAACTCTGATGAATAATTTCCAAAAACCTGTCCAATACTCACTTTTTTAGATCTTTTGTTTATCCGTTTTATGTTTTGGCATGATTTTTTCCTTCAGTTAAAGAATTTTTTTTCAGTAAACAGATCAAAACTTTTCAGCAAACAAAGTTTTGTTATGAATAATTCCTCCTACAAGAAGTACGTTGTTTTAAGAAGTAGATCCCGTTATCTTCCAATTTGTTTCTCATGAAGCAACGTTTTGCCACTGTTTTATTGGAAATTCAAGTAATCTAATCTACTAAAAAAGATTCCACTAAGACTAAGATGGGACAAAACTAAGGACTTCGATAAAGTAACAACAGGCATTGACAGCAATTTATGCCGTAGGATGTATATTGACATAATTCGGCAAGTAATTCTGCTAAGATACATTAAAGTTTTGCTCATAAATTTCAATTTTTGTTCGTATAATGTTCAGATATCGTGCTAAATATTTGGTTTTCAATTCCTCTTTTTAAAAATTTATAGAAAGATTTTTGTTAAAATTTATACATCTGATAATATCTGTTTAGTCTGCGTTAATCATGATTTTAATCTCAGATAAAATAAGTGACACAGATTTAAATGTATCTTTTATGTAAGATTTTACAACAGAAAGGTGTATTTCCGTAATAATTAAAGATGATTATCCTTAAACTGAGCGGCTTGAACATGATTTCCTATTTCACTCCTAAGTCGTTAACTTATAATATGAAAACTATCGGTTTTTTTCATAATATAAGTTTTTCTTAATGATATATGTTTTTCATAACAGGGTACCTTGTGGTACCTCATGATTTTTACACAGTGTTCTCGGGTCAATTAGAATTTCGCTCGGGTCTGTCGGTTTGTTTTCATAATATAAGTTTTTCTTAATGCTATGTTTTTCATAACAGGGTACCTTGTGGTACCTCATGATTTTTACAGTGTTCTCGGGTCAATTAGAATTTCGCTCGGGTCTGTCGGTTTGTTTTCATAATATAAGTTTTTCTTAATGCTATATGTTTTTCATAACAGGGTACCTTGTGGTACCTCATGATTTTTACACAGTGTTCTCGGGTCAATTAGAATTTCGCTATTAGTGAATCAGCTTTGGAGCAAAATCCGTATAAATCTAGTTCATTGAGAATCGTTTGATGTTCACAGAAATGAAAGCTTTAACAAGGTCAAGAAAAACAGCTGTTGTTCATACGGCATAGTTGTTCACACGAAGACTCAATTTTTATTTCTCATTTCAAGGTATAACCGCGTTAATTGACAACATATTTTTTGGAGGCAAAATTGAGTAGACCTTAAATTTATTTTTTTCTAGATATGCAATTAATTTTTTAAGTAGAAGGCGTTGATATAGTTAAGTTTTATCGTTTTATCGTTAACGTTTTATCACCAAAATTGACTGATAGGTGAAAACCTCTGTTAGGTTCTCTTTTTTGGGTATTGGATTTATATAAGCTTCTTTGAGAAAATCGGGAAACCAACTTTCCTTAATCACTGGCTTATCGAAAAAAGAAAGTGCTCAGAAATGGAAAGTTTTGCTGTGTAAATTGCGCTGGAGGCTGACCAATTCATAGTTCCTAACTATTTACTTTTTTTCAAAATACTTATTTCGTTGTGCAATTTATTTTGTTACGAAACAAATGAAAACAAACACGAAGTTCTTTTTCTTGGTTTTTACTTCCAAGTCAATGTTCCAGAATCCTTCCTAATAGTACAAAAACAGACTTTAGTCAACTTGCGGTTTTTTCTATTTTCGTCTTCTGCTCTTCTTCTGATTGAATTTTCAATTTCTCGGGTTGTGTTTTTTAGTTAAATCATGAATATTTTTCCAGTGTTCTTTGGAGCTGGGATATTTGATAGAGTTTTTACAAAACTCATTGTAAGCTTCATTTCTACGTGAGTTATTTCGTTTCCAGCTTTTTGATCCGGGTCCAGTGATTTACCATAATAAAACCCTTTCGGTCTTGATTCGAACGACATTAGAAAATAAAGTTGTCTCAGTGTGAAGAACAATTGGTTTCAAATTTCTGAGATTTAGTTTAGTTTCGAGCGATTAACGCGATCGAGTAACGCTCATTAGATAGAAATTTACTGATTTGTATAGAAATTCACATCGAATATAGAAATATACTGAGTGCTACAAAAAAAACTAGTTTTGGATGATTCATTTAGCGCTTGTTCCGAAAAATAAACCGTTTTCCAAAACAAATAAAATATTGTGCAAAAAGATTTTAGAAAAAATGTAAGTTTTTTAAAAAGTTTTTCATTTTTTGATTTTTATTCATTTTTGAAGGCAAATTTTGTAAAAAGTGTTTACGAGATTGTATAGTTATCGAATCACACCACCCACTGAAAACGACACTAATTTGAAGAAAAGTAGTAAAAAGTTTGTAGTCTTTTTAATGATTATGGTCGGAGCATTCTGTGCTACTTGCACAGCAACCGAATGAACTTGTTTTTTTTTAATAATAATAATTGGTAGTAGTTTGTCAATAAATTTTTCAGCATAGCTGTTAAATTTTGAATTGAATGAAGGAAAATGTTGGATGAAAATCAGTTATGAATCACTATCAATGTTTTGTGAAAGTGTCGGTTGAATATTTCCGTGTATAAAAATATTTTCATAATACAATCATGTTAGTTTTTGGGGCGATAAATTGACCAGTTCTGACGTTATTACTTTGGTTAAGCGAGTTTGGATTTGTTGATACTTTTGGACTATTTGGTTCTAGATTTGTTGAAGGTGAAATTGATCAATGCAAGTTCAGTAGTTAGATTTTAGTGAAATCACGTCGTATCATGCTTTATCCTAGAGGAAAAATTTTTGTAGAGCAGCCGAGAACACTGAAACTATATTCAATTTGAATCTGATACTAGCAGAGCA